ATACTGCATACTCTAAATTATCAGATAGTAATTATATGAAAAGTAGTATTGAAATATCAACAGAAATAAATTCTTCTATTTCCATTATTGCTACTCAAGATCGATTTAAATTAGCATCTTGGGGATTACCTCCAAATATTCTTCAGGTAATATACTTTTTGTTTCAAATACATCTAAATTGTCAGATGTAATGTGAAAAATGATTAATTATCTTTTTTATAGAAATATGAAGCAAGAGGAATAAAAGAAATGTTTACATGGCAACTGGAATGTTTATCGAACCATAAAGTCATAGAAGAGAAACGTAATCTTGTATATTCTGCTCCAACATCTGCTGGAAAAACATTAGTAGCAGAGATCCTTATGATAAAAACAGTTCTAGAAAGAAGAAAAAAAGTAATTTTTATTTTGCCATTTATATCTGTCGTTCGAGAAAAAATGTACTACTTTCAAGTAAGATTTTTTGTCCACTTGAATGCTTCAATTTATAGTGTCAAATAATTTTTAATTAATAAAATTCATCTGGTAGGACTTATTGTCTGATAGTGGTATTAGAGTTGATGGATTTATGGGAGGTCTAGTTCCTCGTGGAGGATTTGCAACTACACAAATTGCAATTGCAACAATTGAGAAAGCAAATTCTTTAATAAACCGTTTAATGGAAGAAAATGAATTAATCAATTTAGGAGCTGTAGTAATTGATGAATTACACCTTGTTGGAGACCCAAATCGAGGATACCTTTTGGAATTACTTCTAACTAAATTGAAATATATGACTCTTAGGTAATTGACATTAATTTACCATTTTTCAAAAGGAAATAATAATATTATACACATTATGGTAATTTATTGTTAGTACACATTGTTCTTTTGTTCTGTTACAGAGATGAAAATATTAATATACAACTAATTGGTATGTCTGCAACACTTCCAAATTTAACACTTTTAGCAGAGTGGTTAAATGCAGAACTCTATAAGACAGACTTTAGACCCATACCTTTAAATGAACAATGCAAGGTACTTTTTCATAACAACAAGTTAGAAGCTTATGTGAATTAAAATTAACGAAAATATTTTAACTTTTTAGATCAATAAAAACATTTATGATAATAAATTATGCCTCATTAGAACTTTAATGCCAATGCCTGAGCTCACTATGGACATAGATGATATTTTTCACTTATGCATTGAAACAATATCAGATGGTCACAGTGTACTAATCTTTTGTACAACAAAAAATTGGTGTGAAAAGTTAGCCGAACAAATAGCAGCTGCGTTTTACAAATTAGGTCCGTTTAATAATATCGTGATTCGTATATTTAGTTTCATACACAGTTAATGAAACTATTATACATTCACAAAAACCACTACTCAAGAAATATATATTCTATATAGGTCGAGAAAATACATCACTTGGTACAACTTTAAGGCAGCAGTTAGATGCTACATTAATTTCTGAAACGTTGGAACAATTAAAACGTAGCCCAACAGGTTTGGATAATGTTTTAAAACGCACAGTTTCTTTTGGAATAGCTTTTCATCATGCTGGTCTAACTATGGATGAACGTGATATCATAGAAGGATCTTTCAGGTAATTATTTAACTTATTTCATGTGTAATCATTCTACCATCTGTTGCTTACTGTTGATCGTTTCAGATCAGGATCTTTGAGAGTGCTTGTGGCAACATCAACTTTAAGTAGTGGAGTAAATTTGCCAGCTCGAAGAGTAATTATTAGATCTCCAATGTTCGGTGGTAGATTATTGGATAGTCTTACCTACAAACAAATGATAGGTCGAGCGGGCAGGATGGGGAAAGATACAGCAGGTAGAATTAAATTGTATTACATTTGAACATATATAAAATATATTATTTAATTTTGCCATTATGCAATGTAGGAGAAAGTATACTCATGTGTAAACCAAATGAACAGAAAGCAGCTGAATTACTATTATCAGCTAATTTGAAACCAATTATGTCATGTCTTAAAGACTCAACACCTTTAATTCGAGCTCTTCTTGAAGCAATAGCTAGTGAAGTTGTACATACTCCATTAGATCTTGAATTGTACACCAAATGTACTTTAATACATTTATGCAATGAAGACATAACAGAGAATCCATCAAATGAAGCAATTCAATTTTTAGTAGACAATGAGTTTTTACTGTATGTATTTGTATCCCAATTATTGTAAATATACATAACAATTAAAATGTTTATACTTCATATGAAAATTGCACTGTTTCCTAGACTACAAAAGACTGAAGAAGAGCATAGATGGGTAGCTACTGCTTTTGGAAAAGCATGTTTGGCTGCTTCTATACCGCCTAGGGATGGTCTGTTTTTACTTGAAGAGTTACAAAAAGCAAGACGCTGTTTCGCCCTAGATACAGAATTGCACGTGATATATTTAGTTACACCTCTTAGTTCTGGAAACCAAATTGGAAGCATCGATTGGATGATTTACTTGGAATTATGGAAAATGCTTTCAGAAAGTGAACGAAGAGTCGGTCAACTCGTTGGCGTAGAAGAGCGTTTTCTAGCATCGGCTGTTAGAGGCATCGTACGACCTGGAAAATCAGTAAATTATTCATTAACTAGCAATTCAATCATTGAACTAAATCAATTGAATACTGGATTTATAATTGAAAATATAATTTTATGTCTTATTTGTAGCTCAATATACATAAAAGATTCTATACAGCATTAGCTTTACATGATTTAGTACGCGAGGTTCCTCTTAACGCAGTTTGTAAGAAATACGGCTGTTGTCGAGGAGTTCTTCAAAGTTTACAACAATCAGCTGCTACTTTTGCTGGTAATATTTCTAATACTTAATTCCTTAGAAGTGAACTTGTAATTTACTAGTAATGCCATGCTTAAAATTTATGATTAGGAATGGTTACACAATTTTGTAAACAATTAAGTTGGGACTGTATGGAATTATTGGTCTCTCAATTTCAAGCACGTTTGCAATTCGGCGTGTGTAGAGAATTGCTAGACTTACTACGTCTTTCAATGTTAAATGGACTTCGTGCTAGAAGTCTTTACAAACAAGGAATTATGACCGTAGCAGATTTAGCAGTTGCTAATGAGCTTGATGTTGAACGTGCACTTTATAAAGCTCTGCCCTTTGAAAGGTAAAGAATAAATATTAATATACTATACATATATTAATACAATTACCTTATTGCAATAATATTGAATAAATTTACCGAAATTATATATTAGTGAAAAAGAACATGACGGAGAGCATGAATCAGAAGCAGTGAAACGAAATAAAATAAGAACTGTATTTGTAACTGGAAGAGATGGTATGACACCACATGAAGCTGCAATTATGTTAGTACAAGAAGCCAGATTACTAGTTCAGGTACAAAATCGTTGTTATTAACATTAACTAAGTTCTCCTAAATTATTCAATGATACAATAATTTTAGCATTTAATTATAGAACGAACTAGGACTACATGATATGTCATGGAAACAAAATGAACAGTCTGTTATTACAAATGAACCTCAAAGTATAACTAACTCACGCATACAGCAAAGTATATTACAAAATAAAAAACATTCAAATTCACAAGCAACAAATATTGAAATTATTATACCTAATGATTCGAAAATTGAAAGTGAAGCAAACAATGAACTTGGAGAAAAAAATATACAGATATTAAATCTACCCACTATCGGAAATATTAACTCTATTAATCAGCGTGAAGAATCCTTAGATAATAAATTAAATAATGATGCAAAGTCTAAAATTAATTCAAATATGACAGACAATCTTAAACATATTGAATGTAATCTGCAGTCTGACTTAGTTGAAGAAACCAAAAATGATAATATAAAACTTACTGATCAATTATTGCAATCAGATATTTCAAACTCAGTAAATGATAAACTATCCTCTGATTTTTTTGAGGTCAGTAGTCCAAAGATGGCATCTGATTCTCAAAGAAAAAGGGATAGTGAATCCGTGATCAGTATTAACAAATCTACAAAAAATCAAATTCAAAGTGTTAAACATACGATAAAGATAGATATAGACATAGAAGACATAGAAAGTTCACAAAATTCCAGTTATGTAACATCAAAAAAAAGAAAAATCTCGAATGAAATGAATATAAATAATGTTACACGAATATCCAGTTTTGAAGATAATGATAAACAAAGGGTTTCAAGAAGTCCTAGTCTATTTGATGATAGTTTAAATCTTGATACGCAAATGTTTAATGTTCTTGAACAAAACATAATTGATTCTTTACATATCTCAGAATTTGAAGTGACCAGACTGTCTGAATCTAAACCAGTAACTGAGAATAATGTAGAAACAAAGTTACTACCTGCCAAAAACGTTTATGTTGAAACCCCAATTAAACGTGATGCAAATGTTAATAACATAAATAAAAATTCAGTTAATTTGACAGTCTCACAATCAAAACCAAACATAATTTCGTGGAGAGAAGATTCCTGGAATGAATCAAATAAATTAACAGAAAAGATAAACCAGATCAATGAAAAGAATAAAGCGGATATATCAGTCACATGTAATATAAGGAATATACAAAATACAAATATACAACATATTCAAGAAAGTACTGGTATAAACTATGCTATGCCAGAAAAGAAAAAGAAATGTAATGATAAATATCCAGATACTCCTAATGGCTTGAACAAGTTATCTCTGAAACGTAGATTAAAAGATAAATCTGTAGAAAAGTCACCTGTTGCAAATATCATAATGTACGGTAAAAACCGGACATTATCATTAGACTCAAACAAATCAGATTCGGATGATATCGTAATTCCTTCCCAAAATATGCACACACCTACTACAAGTATTAAGATAAAAAATAAATTGGATTCTGAGAAAAAGAAAAAATCAAATACACAAAAGATTTCCAAAACTGTGTTGAGCAACGAGTACCCAACTACTGCTTCAAATACGATAGAAGTGGAAAAACATAAGATTAAACCAACATTAAAGAAAATACTTGCTCATAATTTATTAATTCATAAAGATTGTAGTGCAGATAGTGCAATTTCAAATTCAGATGAGGATACTCCAATAAAATCAGCAAAAATCTTACAGAAATCTAAAATTAACATAAAGGAAACACAAAAGCCGATTGAAACATATTCAGAATCTGAAGCTCGAGGTAATACAAGTGACAAAATTAATTGGAACACGTTAAATATTA